ACCCGGCTTTTAATTTTATTTTCGGAAAATTTTATACATATAGTATAAAATTTTTTATAGATTTTTAAAAACTCACTCGGATAATAAATATACTTGAAAATTTTTTAGAGGTTTGTAAATTTTGACCCGGTCGGGTTATGAAAACCGATTTATTAAGCCTTATATTCAAAATTTTTAAGATTTTCATAATAAAAAATTTTATTCAATTTGATGATAGTTATTGAGAAATTGATTAAATTTTATTGTCATTATATTCTGTCAAAAAAATCAAGTTTTTATTAATTTTACTATGTTTGTGACAAAGTATTTTGACAGAATATAATGACAATAAAATTTAAACTTTAAAAATCAATTTCTTAATAACTATTTCATCAAATTAAATCAAACGTTTATTATTATTAAAAGCATTGAATTTTAACATTCTAAAGCCTTGAAATTTTTTTATTTTTGCTAAAAAACTTTAGCTCATCTAAATTTTTTTCTAGTATTAAAAAATTATCAAAAATTACAGAATTCAGACTAATTGTTTGCTAACTTTTTGGAAAGTTTCAAAACTATAAAACTTCTATGAGGAGATATAAATATAAGGAAATTTTATCTAATACTACCAAATTAAAAACAATTTTTTTTATAAATTTATATAACATTGAAATAAAATATTTAGGTAACTAATTTATTAGACAAATAAATATAAATCTAACATATATAGAAAAATTTCTATTAAAAATTTTTATAACATCATATTTGGCGCCACTGACAACATTTTTTTACATATTTAAAATATCATCAATTATATTTATTGTTCTTGTAAACACATGCTAATTGATTTAAATATACAGTGTAAATAAATAAATAAATAAATAAATTTAAATAACATACATATATACACCCTAATAAATATACAAAATTGTACAATAAACAAGATTAAATTGTTCCTGAAAGTAAAATGTCATAATCACTCAAATATGTTAAAAATAAATAGCAAAATTAAAATAACAATTAATTTTGCAATACCCAAAATTTAATTTAATATTCAACTTTTTCCCCACCAAGAATCAAACATTGTACCTTTCGTAATTGACGTTTTAGCTGTCTTCAAGAAATTTCCCATGTTACCAACACCATCTACAACCCCACCTACCATATCAGACATAGAACTTACAGAAGTGACAGAAACAGGACGCGATGATATCGACCCTTGATTATCAATTAAACTCTCATATTGGCTAGGCGTACGTGGGGTTTGTGACAAAGAGCTATAGTGTGGCTCGTCAAAGTTGGCACGAGCTTGACGGAGTTCTTCAAGAATCTATAAAATTAAAATGTATATATCTATCAGGAAATTTTTAAATAGAGTGGATATCGATTACCAGCTACAGGATGATTGCCATCGATTAGAAAAATCAATAATAATCGATATTGGTTACTAATCGATGCACAATCGATTAAAATAATTAATCAAGCGATACTAATCAGTATTAATCGATTTTAATCAGCATCGATCGATTCTAATCTGTATCACTGGCAATCGAAAAGGTGCTGCTTATCGAATGACATTTCTAGATTGACATTTCTATTTGGCCAACCTACTTAAAAATTTCCTGATGCGTAGCTGTGCAACACAAGTTTCGCTAAACTAGGACTACGATATGCATATGTAACAATGATAACAAAATTAAATTTCATTAACACAATTTATAACTTTTAATAATATAATTAGATTATTGCTTTATAAAATTAAATTATTAATTAAATAAAAAAAAACCTATATAAGAAATATTCATAGTTAAAATGATTAATAGTTAATTAACCCATCTCTCATCATCATCATTATCATATGAACTTGACAATATTTTTATTCATTAAGTGATATTATTTTTCAGAATAGTACAATTATTTGCATTTTTATTGTTTCTTATATCCAGATTGTTCAGATTGACAACAAGAGCATTTTTGAAGAATTTTTATAAGAAATCATCATCTTCAGTAATTGCATTATTAATAATAAAACAAGTATTCTTTTCATACAAGATCATGATCAGAACTGATTTCTCAATAAAATTTCTTTGATTTATAAGAATCCTATCTTTACTAAGAAGTAAATATACATATTTCTTATAATTAAATATTTTTTTATTTAAATAAATAAATTATTCTAAAAGCTTAATATATGTTTATTATAATCATAATCTAAATTAAATTAAATTAAAATTTAAAGAGTTTTAAATATTAGATGAATTATATTTTTTATATTTATGCATTAATTAATATGAATAAAATGAATTTAATAGCAATTATTTATAAATATAAATAAATTATTTAAATTAATAAATGTTTTTATATTTACAAAATTAATTTGAATAAAAATTAAATAATAAATATTCTTTTTTGTTCAAATAATATTTTTTCTAATTATACTAAATACAGCTTATTTAAATTTTTTTTTTTAACTTTAGCAGTTATACTAGTACTTTATTAGAATTCTTGAAACTATACAAATTACATAAAATTTTCCTGATATATAAGTCTAGCATTACTCAGCCATCCAAATGGTATCTAAGTATGATCTGCTACACTATCTCAGTTAGAGATAGACTGCTTATCTGACTGCTACTCTATAATAAAACATTGCCATTCTGATGACATCTTTTTATAGAGAAACAAAAAACAAAAAAAATTTTTTTATATAAAAAACAAAACAAAGATATAGAAATAAATAATAAAAAATACAAATCAA